TTACTGATGCGATTTTTGGCAGTAGAATTATTGAATTGTTGAAAGCATCTTCCAAATATTTGACATATCTAATAATTTCTGATCAGCCACGAATTCGTCCAGAAAAGTATGCTTTGCTAAAACTTGTAATTATGTTTATTATAATTAGTTTGATTATCATGTTAATCATGTTTTTTTGGTATATGCAGAATCATTGAAACTCGACAAAAAATTTTAACTGTCATGCATGAACTTCCAAATGACACATCAATGTTTTCAGATATTCAGATTGTAACAGAACTACTTCTAACATTGATTGATTGGATTCCTGCTCAATGTTCTTTCAGAACGGAGGTATGTTACTTGTCTTAAGGATACATATTTCGTTACATCATTATTAATGTTATATTTGGTACTTAATGTTTTTAGACTAGGCAAAAACTTAACAAGAACAGAGAAGAAGCTTACAAAGTAATACAAAAAAATTTAGCACTTGAAAGACAAGAGGTACATTCTTACATTAAAATTTATTAATTACAAATTCATTATTTGCTATTATATATCCTTTACAACTAATCTGACTTGACCCTTTTCAAATCAGGAAATTCAGCAGAAAAAGGCTGATAAGAAACGTGCCGAAGCTGAACGTGTAGCTAAATTATCTCCTGAAGAACAACGAAAGGTAAAAAAAATTTTTTATAGTATTCTATTTTGTTAGCTCAATATTTTAACATTTTTTATTCATATTAGTATGAAGAAAAAGAACGAAAAAGAGAACTTAAGAAAAAGCAAAAGAAAATGGTTAAAAAAGTATAGAATATTATTATTTACATTTGTACAGTTTATTCCACACCTGAGAATAGTACATATGTTATCGTTTTTATGGGATAAATGCTGATATGTGAATTCGAATTCGAATTGGTAATACAACATTTTGGAATGTAATTTAAAAATTGAACATTATTTAAAAGGTTTTTAAATATTGGATATTTTATTTAGTTATTATCCACTAAAATTGATTTTACTACACTATTCACACTTCTTTTATTGATAACCTTGAATACTTTCGTAAATCGGTATTCTTGATTATCTTTTAAAACAAATAGGTTTAGTATAATAAATAAATATATATTTACAATTAGTTTTATATAGAATCAGAAATTGTAAATTAATTGTTATAAATTAATTGTTATAAGTTAATTGTTATAAATTAATACTGTCTATCAGAGATGTTATATGTAAGAGAGTTATAATAAAAATTACAAATAATTTACTATAAACTCCAAGAATAACGATGATCCTTTAGAAAATTAACTTATTTTTGAAGCTATTATGCTTCTTTTGAGCAGGTTAAAATGCACCCAAACTCTTCTCGAGAATGTAATACACCATGATTAACATACATAAAACAATCATATAGCCATAGTGTTTCTCTTCCCCATAAGGTTAGGATGCTCAAGTGTACTAAGAACCATAGTACAAGTTGATAGTTCTTAAATGTAACTATACAAACTACAAATCTTTAAAATCACACCTAAACTCAAATCCAACATGAAAAAATCCCAAATCCCAGACCCTGTCTCCAATTTTCGAATCTAAAATCTCAATTCAAATTTTATACTAGGGATGTACCTTGTATAAAATAAAGCTAGTATAGATTTAACGTACTGATGTTTCATGCAAGATTATAGTTATATCATATTATGTCGTGAAAGTTATCTAAAATTTCATTTTAGAATGTTATAATATTTATTGTGTGAAATTACATTGCAATTGAGGTAGAATCGTCATATCACGCGAGATATGTATATACAGTATGATACCCGAATTTTTTTCGCGTACAGTACGTACAGTACTGTACGCGGCAAATCACTAGTATAGACTCTTTAATATATCATTACTAGAATAACGATAATGAGTTTGGGATTTGGCGATTTGGAATTTGGGTTTGGGATTTGTCCGGTTTTATCATATGAAAAAGTTAAATAATACGTTATTTACTGCTAAAAGTTAACTGATGACATGCTGATTAAAATTTTGCATCTTATTTTGCACTCTGAACTGGAGTCCACCCATACGGAATTTTCTTGCCTATTGTCTGGACTTAAGTTCCTCCGCTTTGTTCCGGAAATTAATTACAGCTAAATTCAAAATTTGTAAACCACTCTAAAAATTTATCCCGAATTATTGTCAGGATAGCAGGTAATCACGAGTTCTAGATTATATATTATATTGATTTCGATGTATTATATTGATATCGATGTCAAATATAACAATCTCGAAAAATCATTATTTAGAAATTACTTATGTATTATATTTATTTTCGTATTATTATACGTATTTTAATAAAACATACTACATATAATACATAATCTAGAACTCGTAATTACCCACTACCCTGACAATAATTCAGAATAAATGTTTATGATAGTTCACGAATTTTAAATTTAGCTGTAACGGTAATATGAGTGACGAAAAAAAAATCTGCATTCATTATCGAGATAATAGTGAAATAATTTACAGGTTTTCCCTTTTCATCATATATATAATGCCTCATGTACAATTAGAAATTTTTAATAAATTTATTTAAAGTTAAAAATTAAATAAAATATAAATTTGAATGAAATAAAGTAAAAGAAAAATCATCAATAATGATGCTAAAAATGGATAATCTTCTTTATCTTCCTCAATTCTAATTCTATTTAAACATTTTACTAACATTTCCTCTTCTCTTTGTTCAATTTCTTCCTTCATAAAAAATTTTAATTTAGAAATAAATATGAATGACTGTAATAATAACCTTTAATTCTTATGCTTTCCTTCTAGTAGAATTTGTGCAATACATATTTGTAAGAATAAATCCATGAACTTCCAATCTTTCACATCGTTCAGAAAACCTTTTAATATCAGACTTTACAAGTCTTTTAGAATTCTTATCATTTCTAGCTGATTGAAAATTTCTTCTCTATTTTAATTCATAAAGAATCGATTTTCTTAAAAGAAAAAATATTAGCTTCTTATGTCTTTATTACATAAACCTCTGGTTCCTTATAAACCTCTATTTGCTTACCTTTACTTTTATCTTCTTTATTATCGACCTCTGTTTTTTTACCTTTATCAACTTTCTTTGGTTCATTTTTATCACCAATTACTTCAAAAGCTGCTGGTTGATCATTGCTCACTCCTTGCTCCCCTTGGCCTCAAGAATGTACAAACAGGTCGATTCCACCACGGACATTTTCACACTGTCATGGCTCTTAACCGCAGCATAGCTTACACCTGTTCATACATTCAACAGAACCAAATGAGAAAACTCATCAATTCTGTTTCAATGTTTGTCAACTATTTTTCTCATCATTGTTATTTGGTTTTTATATAATTTTTGATATAACGAGTTTGATATTTTTTTAGGAGTACGTCTAAAGCCGTGTGCGGTCATATGGTTTTATTTTTTTTTAATTAAAGTTAGGGATAAGGGCGGGTTTTATAGTAAAATTGCCTTTCCGACATTTTTTATTAATGCCAAAGGTAGGTTTAGGCACTCATTTCTTATATTTTTACGGTTTTCACCTTTTTTCCTTCGTCGGATCGGACTGATCTGTGTCGATCAAAACAAACAATTTTATTGGCTATATGGGGGGTGTCAGTAGAAACCAAGCAAATTGTTTTTAGTGTTTTTTTAAAATTTTAAATTAAAATATCTCAACAACTATTAAACCAAACTTGGTAATTTTTTTTTATTTTAATTC